GTTCTCTCTTCTCATGAGATGGCCAAAGTACTGGAGCCTCAGCTTCAGGATCTGTCCTTCCAGTGAGCACTCAGGGTTGATTTCCTTTAGAATTGATAGGTTTGTTCTCCTTGCAGTCCAGGGGACTCTCAGCACCACAATTCAAAGGCATCAATTCTTCGGCGGTCTGCTTTCTTTATGGTCCAGCTCTCACTTCCAGACATCACGACAGGAAAAACCATAGCTTTGACTATTCGGACTTTTGTTGGCAGGGTGATATCTCTGCTTTTTAAGATGCTGTCGAGGTTTGTCATCGCTTTCCTCCCAAGAAGCAGGCGTCTTTTAATTTCATGGCTGCTGTCTCCATCTGCAGTGATCATGGAGCCCAAGAAAGTAAAATCTGTCACTGCCTCCATATCTTCCCCTTCAGTTTCCCAGGAGGTGATGGGACCAGTGGCCATGATCTTAGTTTTTTTGATGTTGAGTTTCAGACTGTTTTTTGCACTCTCCTCTTTCACCCTCATTAAGAGATTCTTTAATTCCTCCTTACTTTCTGCCATCAGAGTGGTATCATAAAAGAGTCAGACTCTATGACTCCCCGGAGTGCTCTGAACCCGTTTACCGACGCTCTCAATACCGAGCTCATTGGTACCGTCCAGCCAAGTTCAAGTATTATCGGAACCATCGTCATCGTAAACATTATTATTACTACAACTCTGACACTTCAGACTCATATTTTTCCCCATGGTACCATCATCGGTACAGGGACGACTGCCGATGTTTGTCTTCCTCGGACTCTGACTTGGTACCATCATCTCCAGTACTGAAACGCAAGTCTTGCAAATGGCAACCCGACTCACGTACCCAGTCAGTACCATCTAAGAACTCTTGAGCCACGGTACCATCCTGATGCTCCCGTTCGCGTTCAGTACAAGAACACACTCAATCTTCGGATAGTAGACACTCTAGTCAACTCCAACAACATGTTGCCTCGATACCACAAACTACCCCTCCGGTACCACAACCCACATCGGTACCGGCTCAACAAACCTCTTCCAAATTAAGGCATGCCACCTCTGTACCAACACCTTCACGGTACGATACTGTCTCTCCAGCACCCTCTATCTGCTCATCCATGTCTAATTCCTCCTATTCCTCCATGGTACAGGACTCTCCTCCCAACCTCCCCACACCTAATTCTGATTCCAGTGATCATCATCCTCCAACTCCATACGATGACTTTTCCGCTTACTAACCACTAATCCTAAGGATTGCCAAAGCCATGGAACTTGATGTCCAACAACCTTCGCAATCTCAGTCAGACAAAGTATACGAGGATATTAACACTCAACAATGTTTACCTTTCAGCATGAGCTTCATTCCTTTTCTGCTAGAATTGGCTAAACAAATCTGGACGAAACCCTCGTCCATACCACAGATGTCTTGCAAGGTGGAGAATTTTTACAGGACACATGGAGATGCAACTGCATTTCTCTTCAAACATCCGCCACCTAATTCTCTTATCGTTGACGCCACCCTAACAAGGGTCCGTAATAGGTCCTCCACTACCCCCAGCAACAAGGAGGGTAGAAAATTGGACATTGCAGGGTGCAGAGGATACTCCCTGGCATCATTCAATCTGTGGGCTGCAAATTACATAGCAACAATGGGAGCATACCACCGCTACCTTTGGAATAAGGTTCTGCCATCTCTCCAGTCAGCCTCCGGAGAATATAAGACTCAACGACTAGCTTTCCATCGAGAAGCCATGGCACTTGCGAGGCAGGAAAGAATCACTGCCAGACATATTATTGATTCCTCTTCCAGACAACGGGGTTTTTTTTTGCATTTTTTTTGCATTTTTAAAAATATATATACACATATCCATACATAGACATATATATACACACATATGCCTAAATCTCTATCTACAAACGATACATACTGTAGAGCTTAGCCTACAAGCCTTTTATATAATAACACATTTCTTTCAGCAGTGTCTCCTCATTATTCCTTTTGGTCACTTACTTTCTATTTATTACAAAGTTTTTGTTTTCCACCATTTGTAGAACATGTTCCAGCTTTCATAGTAAGTTGATTTTTCTTGCCCTTTTAGTCTCTTTGTAAGTCTATCCATTTCTGCGCACTCTAGTATTTTTTTGATAATCAATTCATCTTTTGGTGGGTCTCCCTCCTTCCATACTTGTGCCCATGCTAATCTAGCAGCTGTAAGGACATGTGATATTAAGTAGTAACTTTGCTTATTTATATTATTTGGTATTAATCCCAATAAAAAAGTTTCTGGTTTAAATTGTATTTCTTGCTTAATCATTTGTTTAATCCATGTATACATTTTGACCCAATATTTCTTTGCAATATCACATGTCCACCATGTGTGGTAATAGGTTCCTTCTTGTTTTTTACATTTCCAGCACTTATTCAAAATATTGGCAGAAATTTTTGCAAGTCTGGATGGAGGGAGATGCCATCTATAAAACATTTTGTACAGATTTTCCTTATAAGACATTGCTAATGTTAATTTAAGATTTTTAGTCCACATTTGTTGCCATTTCTCAAGTTCAATACTATATCCAAA